TGCCATACCGAGTCGAAAATGCCTGTCTCAGTTTCATCAGTTGAGCCCGATACATGGAAATTATGCCAATTCGGAGGTTGAAGTTGACTTTCGGACATTCTTGATGCAGCCTATCATAGAGTTGAATAGCAGCGTTAACTTCGGCCGTATTGTATTGAGAGTGGCCTTGATCCGCCTGTTCTTCAGTTCCTTGTACATTAAAGAACTTATAAATGCCAAGGGTGTTGACTTTATGCCACGGCTCCATAGTCTTTTTAGCCATATCAGGTCCATCTTCTAGCTTTCCGTCATAAAAGAGGTTGGAAGGGAGCAGGCTGATTTCCGGGTGCATTCGATATTGAATACTTGCAAACAACTTTCAGTCGAATATATGTTATGCAGCATAATGAATATACCTCAAAAGATGCACTCGATGTGGCAGCATTTTCTGTAGTCTCACGAATAGGCTATACCATTATTAGGGATATATAGTAACATTTAAAATACGGCAAACCTTTGGTTATAACCGAGTTTTGTTGCCGTCTGTGATATCACCGTGGGTGGAAGTTGCTGCGGATCTTTATGATATGGATGTTAGAGAGCTCTAGAGTCACCAGAGCATAACGACCTCTTACCACCAACCATAATACAGCGTTTCGAGGAGAATTTGAGCGGAATAAGAGAGCTGAGTTCAATTGCTTGGGCGGCTTCGTCGATAACTATCAGGTCGAACTCAAACTGTTCGATAATATCATGACCTGCTCCTGAAAGTGTACAGCAGATGATATCCGCCTCGTTCAAAATATCTAGTCGTGCTTTTCTCTTGGCTGAATCAACAGCCCGCGCTGCATCTTTACTCTTGTCGGTAGCAGCGGTCAACTTGGTTGAGAGTTCGATTCGCTTGGATGTCAATTCTCTCAGTTCCTGCTCTATCTGTAAAAGGCGTTGGGTGTTACCCTGAGAGGCTTGTAGTTCCGCCTGTTTCGTTTGTCGCAGTTCCTTGACTCGTGCCAACTCGCTTCTGAGGCCCACGACCTCTGTTCCTGCCTGAGTCGAGCTATTAGACGACTTAGATAACCGCTCTGTCACCAATTGGTCCAAAGATATGTCTTTGACGCTGACGTTGATTGCATTCTCCGCCCCCAGTCGTACAACTGATGGTATCATTTTCACCCCATCACTTCTCAAAACGCCTTCTCGTAGGCGCTTTGCGAGTTCGTCAATGGCGGCGTTGCTTGGTGCACAGACCA